AACTGAACCACACAGCTTGGTGTCATCGGCAAACTTGCTGAGGGCGCACTCAATCCCACTGTCCATGTCAGCGACGACGATGTTAAACAAGACCGGTCCCAACACCGATCCCTGAGGCACATCACTCGTTACTGGTCTCCAGCCGGACATTGAGCCAGTGACCACAACTCTTTGTGTGCGGCCATTGAGCCAGTTCTTTATCCACCAAGTGGTCCACCTATCAAATTGATGTCTCTCCAGTTTAGAGACAAGGATGTCGTGTGGGACAGTGTCGAACGCTTTGCTCAAGTCCAGGTAGATGACATCAACTACTCTACTCCTGTCCATCAGTTAAACTTCCCCTGTTTAAGTTTGAACCCGTTACCCCTTGTGCTATCACTACAGTCCCTAATGAATAGTCCATCCATCCCCAGCATCCCTATAGGCCCCCTTCAGATACTGGAAGGCTGCTATGAGGTCTCCACGCAGCCTTCTCTTCTCCAGGCTGAACAGCCCCAACTTCCTCAGCCTGTCTTCATACGGGAGGTGCTCCAGTCCCCTGATCATCCTCGTGGACCTCCTCTAGACTTGTTGCAACAGTTCCATGTCCTTTTTATGTTGAGGACACCAGAACTGCACACAGTACTCCAAGCGAGGTCTCACAAGAGCAGAGTAAAGGGGCAGGATCACCTCCTTCGACCTGCTGGTCGCGCTCCTTTTGATGCAGCCCAGGATAAGGTTGGCTTTCTGGGCTTCGAGCACACACTGAAGCTGGCTCATGCCAAGTTTCTCATTGACCAACACCCCCAAGTCCTTCTCCGCAGGGCTGCTCTGAATCTATCTGTCTCTAGAAAAAAAAAATTAAAAAAATATGCAGCTATGGAGGTAACTTTCAATGCTCCAAAAACATTTAAAAACAAAACAAAACACCTGAACAGCCACATCTGAAATGCCTTAGAAATGAGAAAGCCTTAAAGTAGATGTTAATAGAGATTACAGGTGTATATGTTATTACCCTGAACAGCTCAGTATGCAACAGACTGCTGTAATAGTGCCCGTCACATACACAGAGTTAGTAGTTTGTAGCTCAGCATTTCCTACCAGCTGATTTACAAGGGTGTTTGGAGGCTCTTGACTCCTGTCATCACAGAAGGGAGCTGACACACAAGGAAGGAGAGTAGCTATGGAAATCAACTCAATTTTGGCCAGTAAATAAGTTGGATCATTAAAACAGAATAATAGTCTTCAACCATTGTTAGCACTTTTCATCATAAATGTAAAAAATTCACAAGCCATACCTCTTAAAGGTAAGGGACTGCCTTTAAATTAATGATTTTGATTTACTTTCTTATTGGCTTTCCACACTCAGAGCCTGTATTGAAAAAAAAATAAACAATTAGTCACACTGGAAAGCTCTGCTACTGAGAGAGCCAAAAAGCTTGCTATCCTGCTGACAGTGAGGTACTCATATAATACCATCTTCTAGGAGAAGAAAATAGTGTCAGCCCTGTGAGGAAACAGTACATGTTGCCTGTACATCATTTGGGCTGTCCACAGCTTGCTGACCTGCTACAACTGTCAGCTCTCTTCTCCTCTTAGCTTAACTAACACACTTAAATTAAGGCTGAAGTCAACTGTTTTCAGTCTGCACTCATCTTCAAGTTTGTTACATCTCCTTCACACCTGAACACGCCAGCACTGCCAACAACCTGCCAGTTTTTGCCAGCTATACTGGTTTGTCTCTTGCCTCTGCTGGCAAGCCTTGCTGTCATTCAAATGTACGTACATGAAAATACACTTTGAACATGCTGATGATGAGTTACACATAAAAATATGTTGAGGCCAAGTGTACACATAGTATTGCTACACTGAAGTCATTAACTTCTGCCACTTTGAGGATATGGTCTAAACCACAGGGGTAAAATGGGGCTGTTTTGACATTCATGAGCTGGCTAATCCACTGGGTAGCCCTCATATGTCAAGAATGTGAGCCTACACGTTCATTACATGCTCAAAATCACCTGTGTCCTGGCTTCAGCAACAGCCTGTAATAACCACAACAACCTGTAACAACCACGACAACCTACAAACATGGTCAAGACTCAGGAGTTTCTCAGAAGAGAAAAACCAAAACACCAAACCAACCAACCAAAACTAATCAAAACCCCTGCCCAATGTTGTTGTCAGTAGCCCAATCCTTGTCCAAATAAGCCTGAGACAAAAATCAAAGAACCTACATGCCCTTCAGATGCAGAAGATTTCTAAGACCCATCTAAAGTAACTGCCATTTCATCTGTTTTCTGTAACTATATAGGGCACTTTGTAGTTAACACATCTAGTATTCTTTAAGGATAATTCAGGGATTTTTAATGGCTTGTAAATCAAAAGAGAATGGGCTGCTATGTAGCAATGCCTTCTTTCGTACTATGGCTCTAATAAATATAACTAGGGACATTTGTAAAAAGTAATAAACTTGCACTCCAAACAGAAGATTTATATGTTCCATCTAAAACAACCACTATGATGTTTTATGTCATTACAACTGGAACAGATGGAGATGGTCCCTTCCTTGAAGAGCTGGGAAAAATTAAGACACCTTTGTTGGATCCCCAAAACAAGAGAAACCAGAGCCAGGTCATTCTGCATGCCCAGAGGTTAATGTTAAAGGAAGTAGTAGTGATGCAGGAGACATGGGCATTTGAGATGTTTAGAAGAGTATCTCAGTGCCTCTGAAAAGATCTGAGAGGTACTACAGCCCTGGGAGGAAAGAGAGACTACCATATAAGGGTTGTCATAATGGTTAACACCTAGCATGGGGAGGCCATGCTCAGCAAATTCCTTTCACTGTCAGCAGAGACACATGAAGACCACATGGAGCAGGAATTAATTCAGACACTGCCAAAACCACAGGGAACATAGACCCTCAGGATGTCTGCTGCACAGCCAGCTTACAGACCCCGATGGGGTCTTCACAAGGGGGTCCCTAATATGTTTGGGGGATGCCCTGGGGCCAAAATGCAGTCCTGGCTCCCTCAGCTCTAACATAGACAAGAGCTCTGAAGTACACCGTGGAAGAGCCGGGCAGTCTGGCTTTAATAACAGTTCATTCTCTGCTCAGCTACAGCTTTAACTTAGCTAACAGTAACCACAGGTTTTTTCTAACTGTTGAACATTTAGAAGGCAGCAGAAAGCATGTATTATTCATTCAGCTACTCTCATAATGCCCACCTTATGAAACCACAGCCACAAACAATTTTCACGTAAAGCTTGATTGGCGAATTCAGCCAGTAAAGCTCCTTCTGCTTGATAATGCAGTAGCAGGGGGTATTTCAGCTATAATGGACTAAGATAAATGCAGATTCACTGAATTAAAAACATTGCAGAGAAATGTGCCGATTCAGTTTCATGTCAGGATGAGAAAAAGTAAAAGCATTCTGTGAAGATAAATTGTAATGGTTTGATTTCCTGTTTTCAATTTGCTTGGGGTTTTTATATACTCCACAGAAATATTTGAATGAGATGGCATTGCCCTGCCAATAGCAGAAATGAATGCCCTTTGGCATTAGTGAAATGATCTGGTAGGTCTAAAGATCACTTTGAATTCATTCTATGGATAATTTCCAATTTTCAAATGTCTGATTCAGTAGTGAGTTTAAAACAAACAAGGCATGCTAATTTTTCAGGAAAGCAACTATCTAGTTTCTGATCAGCAGTATTGCCAAACACAGCAGAGAGGAAAGCAAACTGCCCGAAGTTTGAGGATTTATCTGCTCTTTGATTAGAACAAGTTTCTTCCCCATCCACTGAGCTGGGAAGCCAGGAAAAGCTTCCATTGCCAGGAGCCATGTTGTAGTGTACGTATTTTTGAAACTAAAAGAAAAAGAGGAAAAAGTGCATTATCCACTGCTAGCAGCCCAACATCTTTCAGAAGACATTCTGCATTACACTACATAATATATGGTACAGCTTATAGCACCACTAAAAGTTACATTCAGGAACCACGCTGTAAAACTCTAAAATGAGATATAAAAAGCTAAACTGTTTCCCTATACTCGATTTTCTTAAGAATTATGAACAAATTTTATGAAGGACATAGATGTAGACCATAAGAAGTTCTCCCTGCCATCCTCAATTCCCAATCCAGAAAGAGTGTCCGAATCTCCAGACCATGGTTTTTGCGAGAACCTTTCTGAATCATCCTAACGCATCACGATTCCTTTTCCATTTGAGACTTCTAAGAAGGCTGCGCCCTCTCCTGACAGTTCAGGACTCAGCAGCAGTGACTGATAAAACTGCTTTACTGCAGCCAAGAAGTTAGGACTGGACCTAGAGTTACCAAGACCAGCCCTGCTTGACTTAAAACGTTTATTGCACTATACAGAGAGGCTTCACAACAAGATGGATATCTCAAAGTTACAACGCTTCTTCACCATGCTGTAAAAAAAGAAATTGCTTGGGAAGTACGCATGTACAGGAAGAAAACGGCCCCTACCGTATGGTTGAAAAAGGATTGAACACCACTCTAGAATAATCTCCAAATAACACATACAAACATTACAAGCCATGCAATTCCATAAAGGAAACTTTCATATATTAAAAATATAACCTTGAAATTAGTGCTGTATCGCATGGATTCAATTTCACAGAACTACTAGAAAATATAGCTAATGCTATTATGAAGAGTCAGTCTGCCTTCGTAAGCAAATGTAATCTCCTTCGACCAGCAAAGCTTACGCAGGAGTGACTAAAGAAATCCCCCACATCTTGTCAATCATTCACACAATGCCCAAGTGAAGATCACCTTCATTTAATTTATGTGGAACGTTCGCCTCTCATCTGATCCTGCATTCAAGTTAAACAAATTTTAAAGACTCACAGATGCATACTGATCAAAGCTTCTGGTCCAGAAACAACTGAATACCACCAAGAAAGAAAAGGAAATTTCCCTCTGGTCAAACTGGCAGGGTCCATTTGGAGGGATTTTCTGCCTTTCTTTGTAGCTTAGGATATGAGTCACTTCCTTAAATCATCTGGGAATTTTATTTAACAAATTTCCTTCTATTCTAGGGCATAATTACTGACACTGTTGATTTTTCTGGCTCTCTTCTTGTGGTACATGGTTGTGCTTGTGGCTTTGGTCTTTTCCACAGAAGGCCTTTATTCTTCTCTTTAGGGTGCTCAGGCTCAGACTGTTGTCTGGGGAGGTTACAGGCAGTGTGTTTATTTCATACACTTACTCAAATCATTGATACATCAGCTGTGTAAGAGAAGATAATGATTAAATTACTTCCTCTAATTATAATATTTACAAAGTTGCCCTGAGAGTGATTAACACTTATGGTCAATGACTATCAAGTAAACACAGCTGGAATACGAAATGATTCTCCATGGACTAACACCACACACTGCTGTATATTCTGGGCCCCTGAAACTTAATGGCTACTGCCACATACAGGAAGAAATAATCCAGTTTGTTGCTTTACAACAACGTATCTCACTGCTTTTACAGATTCATCCCTGCATCCTTGCAATGCAAAACACGTTATTCTACTCTGCGTGAAGGTGAAACATCTCTGCAAAACCGCCCTACCCTCCGGTTTCCTCACAGCTTCTCCTTCTGCCCTGCCAGTGCTGATACGAAGTTGAAATACAGAAAACAGCCACCAGGCGGCGAAAGGTAACTAACACAGCCTCATTAATAGCCACCTATTATTATATTCAGCTACTTTAACTGGATTCCTACCGTAACAGCAGCTTTGTATTAACAATGTAATTTCCCCATGCTTCACAATAGCTTTGCTTATTAAATTAGTAGATGAATTATAATTACTTTTAAATGCATCTGAGGCATTTTTATTCCACAAGCCTACCTCAACCATTAAAAGTTCCACAAATAGCCTTGTTTTAAGCCTTCCTCAGCCAAACTACTGTGTGTTTAAATGGATGTTTAAACCTCTGTAGAAGCAAAGCTTTAATATTACACTTTGATCACTATTTTATTATTGTAATTTCCCAGCATGTTCTAACTACTGTACAGTGTAACTGCTGTACAGTGTTCAGTTCAGAGCTGCCAAAGGATGAATGGCAGACTTTGCACTTTATTTTAAAAGACATTATGCGTTTTTAAAGACCTAATGTGCCTGTAGTTCTGACAGTATTCACCAGTAAACAAGCATCAGAAAACAACAAAGTGTTTTAAAGCAAGAAGCACACATATGTTATTATATCTAATCATTTTGTGGGTTTGCTGTAAATGTTTTTCTATGAGCTCAAACTGTTCTCTACTTTTGCTCCTTGGGAAAGGGTAAAAAAGATCTTTTTAAAAATACTTTAAAATAGAGTATTTCCCTGTATGCCTTTTTGACAGTCTTTCTCCTCCTTTTTGATGTCATTTGCACAACCAACAAGCAAACAAAACAGTAAAAAGACAGTTCAAGTAAAGCATGACTTGACTGGTGGTGCACTTACAGGTTGCCTACATACACACCTTCTCTGTGAAGCGTAGGCACATAGGAACGTCTTTTCCAGAAACAAATGGGTACCAAGCTACTCTTTGAACTTCGGCAGACCCTGATGCCTACAGGCGGAGTTTGGGGCGCGATGCACGCACCCCTCAGGGACCCCAGCGGGACTAAGCGATGTGCACACTCTTTAAGTTGAAGGAACTTACCCTGCGGTCAGAAGGAGGCATAAAAGGTGGAATAGTGGTATGGCAGCCTGTTCCAGAGGTGGGTTTGGAGACAGGGCTGGGGAATCATACATATGGGATCAGACTGCTCTCCCCTCCAACTTCAAACGGGTGAAACTCTGCAATAAACCATTTCCTATGCAGAAACATCAACCTAGCCCTCGGGACTTGGAAATCAACCCTTTCCACAGCGAGGACATAACCACGATCGTATTCACGGCAGAGAAGCTCCTCTGGGGCCGTTGCCCCGGTACTACCGGTACCACACTTGACCCGCGAAGCGCAGCCCCTCCACCTGTTCTCCTCCCGCGAGAAGGGAGTCGCCCCAAGCTCTCTATTTCGATCCTGGATAGGTATTTTTTGTGTCACCGCCTGCTTTCAGCACCTCTCTGCGGGCAAACGCCCTCACGGCTCCGAACTCCCTCATGGGATCCCTGACAGGATCCCTAGCACCGATCGCAGGGCATCACCTATCGCAACCTATATAACACCCCTGAAGGGTAAATAAAACAACAGAGCTATAAAAACCTGAAACCGCCTTAATTTGCCTGCGCCAGGGCACGGAAAACTCCACAAACTGGCGCTACTCTCTTCCTCCCGAGCTCAACATGGCGACCGCAGCGTCCCCCCACGGCCTCGCCCAAGATGTCGACCCCACCACGGTGGAAGCAGCTTGCCAGCACTTAAGATGGCGGCGGCGCGGTTCCCCCGCTGTGTAACCCCACCCGGCGCGGGGCAGACACCGCCGCTCGGTAGTTTATTTATTTACTGAGCCGCTAAGGGAAGTGACGCCGCTCCGGAGGCGGCAGCGCGGTGCGGGGCCTGCCGGGAGGCTAAGTGGGCGGTGGCGGGGCAGGAGGCGGTGGCCGCCGGGAGGGGGCCGGGCCGCAGCGACGCGGTTCCTGTCGCCGTGACATGGGTTCCCCCTCGATGGCGGTTACCGCGGGAGGCCTCAGATAACCGGCCGGGTCCCCGTTCCCCTTCCCTCCCCCTCCTCGCCCGCCGCCATGCACGCCCGGGCTCCGCCGCCCCCTAAGCAGCCCGCAGGTAAGACCCGGTGCCGCCGCTGCCGTGTGGAGGAGGCGGCTCGTCTCCTCCAGGCCTGGCCGGGGAACGGGCACCCCTTGCCCCGCGGTGGCGGGTGGGGACCCCTTGGGGCTTCATCCCGGGGCCTGCAGCGGCCGGGGCCTGGTGGGGCACCGCGGTTTCCGACCTTCCTCTTCCATCCTCGGGGGAGGGCGGTGGGGCCGGGCCGCCCTGCCCGGCGGGAGGGCTGGGCAGGGGGGGTGAAGCCCCGCCGCGCTTCCCCTCACTGAGGCGCCTCTCTCGGTGCGTCCCGCCGCGGCTGGAGCGGGGGGCCCGGCCGCTGCAGGGCTGGCCTCGGGGACCGGCGGCTTTGTCCTTCGGCGGCCGGCCGCGGGGGTCGAGCGGGCGGGTTCCCGTAGCGGCTCCGGGAGGGGTGGCAGCCGGAACCCCTCGGTTCTGTGGGGTTCAGTGAGGCCGCAGCTGGAGGAGAGGGCTCCGTGATGTGGTGCAAGAAGTTGAGCTGTCCTGTGTGTTTGCTTTTCCTAATAAGCATATTTTTCTAAGGGGTGTGAAGCCTGTCAGTTGATAAATGCATCTGAAGATGACACACGGAACTGGAGTCATGATTTTATGTTTTTATAAGTTCTGAAATGGGGCAAAGTTGCTGAAATGCTTTTTAAGTCCTGACGCTTCAGTTTGCTATTGTGAGTGGCTACCTGATGAACCAAAACGTTCATTTTCCTTAAAGACAATCCCTTAAACCAAGGGTTAAACCTTGGGATTCCCTCACAGTGTCTGTAGGTTGGCTTCTTGATGGTGTCAGCCCTTTCCTTCCAGCTTCAGCACAGAAATTGAAATCAGAAGTCTGCTCCTTTTAAAGGAAACATCTGTTCCTAAATGGAATGAATAGAAGCGGCAGCATTGACAAGAACTGTAGTGAATTGGTCATATAAGTTTTGTTTTCATGAATGTTTTGCCTGAAGTGTGATGTGCTTCATCAGAACTATTTTTTTCCAGCTGTTGAGTCCATGGTAAAGTGAGTTTGATGGATGCTGCTTTTTAACTGCTCTCATCTTTGGAGATTGAACAAAATTAAGAGTATTTCCTCTTTGTTTTATTCTCTGAACAAATGAACCAGGCTTGGAAAACCAATTAGCCCACTTTAAGAATAAAAATGTTAGGTTGTGTTGTTGGTGTACACTATGCATGGTCACACAGGCAACACGGAGGTAGCAGCTCCTCATGATGAAGTTGGAGCTGTACCTTGAGGAATATAGCAGTAATTGGGAGAGCCAGGAGAGGAGACGGAGTACCTGTGGCTACTGATAAATTGTGGGTTTTTTTCAAACATATTGCTGAAAATAAATAGCATAAATTTGAGGATATGGTAATTTAAATGTAAAAATATGAATTAGCACTGTAATAAAGTGACTTCAGGAAAGGCAGTGTGGCTATGGTGTTCCCGTTCCACATAGTGTTTGCGTAAAGTACATGTTGGGTGACCTTCTAAGGTCATGTGAAAGTATGACCTCTTCTTTTTACTTCCTTAATTTGTTTATAAGCAGGCAGTTGAAGGAGCTTGGCCTCGGCAGATCCGTTTGTGCTGTCTGATTCTTATTTTTTAATTTTATTCTTATTTTGGCTTTATTTTTTTTGTTTGCTTACACCATGGCACTGGAATGGGCTGCCCAGGGAGGTTGTGAATGCTCCATCCCTGGTGGTGTTCAAGGCCAGGTTGGGCAGAGCCTTGGGTGACATGGCTTAGTGTGAGGTGTCCCTGCCATGGCAGGGGGGTTGGAACTAGCTGATCTTAAGGTCCTTTCCAACCATAACTGTTCCATCATTCCATGGTTTCACTTCACAAAGGATTTAATAGTCTATAAAATTCAGAGTTATACCCACTGAATTGTATGTGTGCTGCATGTTTCTGTTGGTGAAGACAGCATGTGAACTTATTTATACTTGAAATTTTCTTTAGTAACTTACTAACTTAATGTAAGCATTTTAACACCCTGAGTACATAAAATGATATCCTGAAACTTTCAGTACTTTGAGAAGACTTGCCTTTCACAGTGGAAATAATAGAGCAGCCTTCACTCAACACTTTGCCCTTTCCTCTTGAAATATTCATAGAGCTCTCCTTGCAGGTATCTAGTGGTATTAGTTGGAAACCCAGTGGTAAAGAAGCTGATGCTGGATCTGGTTGTTCTCACTATACTCAGCAGCATAATATTCTTTCAGATACTCATCTTTTTTGACAAAATGCTCAATCCTTTCTGTGCTGTTGTACTGTTTGACAGTTTAAGCTATGTCTTTGTGAGCATTTCAGTGCAATGACATGCTAACCCTTTCATGGGGATTCAAAATACTCATAACTTCTCTGGATAGTTCCCTTAAGAGAAGTGTCTTAGATCCCACTCATTGCTGGGCTTCACAAGTTTTGTCTGTTAATTTTATTTTTCCTTTGTGCAGAAACCACAGTGTAAGCAGCTCTTATGCACACAAAAAAAGGCCTTGAAATGTGCCTTATTTGAAAACTGACAGTCTCGTTTCCAGTATACTCTCTTCCATGCTAATGCCTATAGCAATTAAAGTTTTGGATTGATGCTGTGAGGAATGTTTCTGCATTGATACCAGTTGCAAGGTGATGTAATGAGTCTGCTTCTGTATAGCAAATAATTTGGGGTTTTCAATCCCAAGAGTGCTGTTTTGCAAGAACCACAGGAAAGGCAAAACTTGTCTTTGCTTTAATACGTTTGAAAGTAGGTGCCAGGGGGAAGGAAATGTGAAACTTGAAGTTCATATGTCTCTTGGAAAGTGGTGGAGAATAAATGTTGTTATTTGAAGTATTAGGTGTCCTTCTTGTATTGTGTTTATTATGAGATGACTATAGGTGGGATAAATGATGAATAATGTAAGCCTGTTCTTGCTCTGTGCTTAGCTTGCTTCAGGCAGGCTGCTTGAGGGTTTTGCCTTTTCCCCTCACTTGTTCTCTGCATGTTGAAGAAAAATATTTGTTCACTTAGAAACAAGAAGTTTGCAGTAATGGAAGGAGGACCTATGGTTGTTCTCCCTATGCAACTGTTTCCTCTGCCAGGCTGTGGGAGAACCTTTCGCGTAAGAGTGCACCTCTGAGTGTTTGTAATCTGCTCTTTACTGTAGTCTGTGTGAAGTTTGAAGGGTTTATATGTGATGAAGAACATATTGCTCTCTAAATAAATCTCTGAGAACAGTTGACCTTAAGTAATCTAGTTCTAATACTTTCTAATCCAGCATCTTTTTGTCTTAATTTAGAACAGGTTCCCAGCTAACATGTTTGAGGGTACTGTCCAGAAATAGATTTTCTCACTGAGTTGAACACTCTTTCAAAAGGAATTTAAGAAACGATAAGAAAGAAAACATCCCAGTTATGTGTTACTTTCGACATCTGTCTTTACACATTGCATGGATGTGTGCTGTACATTGGACACAAATATTGTGTTCCCACAGAGACAGATTTTAAACCTGATTGACTTTCCCAGCCAGTTGTGTTTGCCTAGATGAATTAAAAACACGCTTGTTCTTGCAGCATTTTTTCCCACTGTTTACAAATTTAGGTACAGACAATGTCTTTATCTGCAGCTGTTAAAGCAAGTCAGCAGATTTTGAGTTGAAAGATTAAATTTTAATTTTATTTTTTTTTTTACTTATAGTAACTATAAAAATAACCTGATCTTTTGGGTTTGGACAAGTGATGCTATTCTTGGTTTAAAAAATTGTTTTGTGAACTAACACATTTAGATTCATATTTTTCAAATGTTTCTCTGGTTCCACAGCTAAGCCAAATTGCAATAGGGAGAAGGTTGGATGCAAGGCTATGTTGGATGGGGCTTTAAGCAACCTGGTCTAGTGGAAGGTGTTCCTGCCCATGGTAGGTGGCTTGGAAGCAGGTGATCTCTAAGGTCTCTTCTAATCCAAACCATTCTATGATAAATGAAACAGCACATGTACTGAAAGTTGTTTGATTCCTTCCTCATATAATCTAATAAGGAAGATGTCTATATCCCAGATCTGTTTGAATTTCATGTTTGTGCCACCTAACTTGGTCTTCCTGTATTGTCAGCAATAAGAGGAAGAAGAGCACTGTCAAAGGTTTGAATCTTGCATAAGCTGGATCCTCTGAGGATGTCTGGTGTTTACTGCCAGCCTGGGGAGGTCAGGAGGACAGGAAGAATGAGCTGCCTGAGACAAGTACCTGAATCCTGAAGGCAGTCTCTTGAGTTTGGTTTCTTTAATGTTCATTTTACATACAACACCTTTTAATAGAAGGTGTCTAGCTCTAGCACATTTGGTGTTTGTTGAAACTACAGTAATGTACAGTGGTATTGATTAATTCCAAGTGTTGGATAATGAGAAATAAGGCTTAGATACATTTCCTTTACTGGAACTGGAGAACATTGTTTTCCTCAACTCATATGTCCAAGCAAGAATAAAAAGTGAAACTCGTGCTTTGGGTAATGGACCTTCTGGCTGTAACAGCATTACCTTCAAAATCGAAAACATTGATTTCTTGGAGGCTTTATGAAGGAAACATTTTCTTGCTGTATTTTGTTTTATTCCAAAAATAAAAGTAAGCTTATTAAACCAATTTAAGAACATATTGACTTCAGCCTGGACAGTGACTCTTTGTCTAGAGCGGTTTGGGGTTGTAGAAATGCTATTTTAACAGA